GCTTCATCATGGAATTACCACGTCCAGTATTCCAATCTTTTACGATAATTAGTGAGTATGATTTCAATCGCAACATCAGCAGTAAAAGATCCAGTTTGAAAAAGCAGCACAAAAAGAGAAGAAAATGACTGAGAACATGGACCAATCTGCAGGAATAACGGTTTCCGGTGATGGTTCTTGGAGAAAACGCGGATTTTCTTCGCTTTTTGGATCACGTCATTGATTGGTTGGTTTTTCTGGGCAAATTGTCGATGTTGAGGTAAAATCTAAATATTGTAAAGTTACGAACAGTGGAAGAAAAATTGGACACTTGTGACTATGACGAATGGTATAAAACGCACGCCGATGTATGTAAAGCGAACCACGAAGGATCATCGGGAAAAATGGAAGTTGACGCAGTCATCGAGATGTTCCATCGCTCAAACGATTTGCACGATCTCAAATATTCAAGCTACATCGGGGATGGTGATAGCAAAACATTTAAAGGTATTATCGACTCTGAACCGTATGAAGATTTAGTAGTACAGAAGAAAGAATGCATCTCGCACGTACAGAAAAGAATGGGAACGCGACTTCGTAATCTTTAAAAATTATCAAAAACCTCGGAGGAAAAGGAAAATTAAGTGCAAAATTAATAGACGAGCTGATTATTTATTATGGTTTGGCCATTCGTCGGAACCCAACATCCTTAGATGACATGAAAATGAAATTTGGGCGACTTTATTTCATAAGTTATCAACTGACGAAAATCCGCAACACGAAAAGTGCTCGAAATCTTGGTGCAATTGGAAGAAGGCGCAAGAAGCAGATACCTTGGACACTTCGTCACAAGTCAAATCACCGCTTTCCGAGGAAGTTTACGAAGCCATAAAACCTATTTATGAAGATTTGAGTCGGGACGAGTTACTAAAAACAACCGTTGCCTGGGCGGTTACAACGCAAAATATAATAACGAAAGTTTTAATGCGACAGTGTGGAATTTGCCTCCTAAATCGTATTCAAGCGGCAAGACAGTCCTAAATATAGCATCGGATATCGCTACATGCGTCTTTAATGATGGAATAACTAATATTTTTACGTATTATATGCAGCTTCTGGAAATGGAAATTGGCGTCGAAGCATATATTTTTGCATCGAATCCGATGCAAAACGAATCAAGCACGCAGAGGCCAATTATCAGATGCGGCAAAAAAAGCGCGCTCTGGCATAACATCTGCGAGGAAAGAAATGGAGGACGAATATTCCAACTTAGAAGGGCAGCTTTACGGTGCTGGGATTGCAGACTAATGGTAAAAATTTTTTTTAGTCGAATTTTAATTTTTTTCATGTTCATAATACAATTTAAAACTAAAACCGCGTTTTCTCGAAACACGTTTTTTAAGGCGGGCAAGCAGTATCACTCTAACAATTTTTAATATTTTCACTTGAATTTTTTACTGTACATTCAAAACCATTTCGAAGTACAATACGTATGGCATTTTTTGATACGTTGCTCTAAACATTTTTTATTGCCAAATAATGTCACTTTTTTTTGTCGAAAAATGAACGACTTTATTCAAATGCTCGCCAATCACTCAAAAATCAATATTTCTAAAATCCCATACGTATTGTACTAGATATACCATTGAAGATCATGAGGAATTTTTTTATTTGTTCTAGTTCAAATTTCCAACGGCTACACTGCTTGCCGCAGACCCCTTTATTTTAAAGGAGCATCGGGAATATGGCTGCCATTCCGCCATTTTGTAATATTATTTTATGAATAAATTTTTACAAGTACTTCAATATATGCTTATTAACTTCACGGAGTATTAATACTTTTTTATTTCCTTTTATTAAAAAAAATGTCGAAAAAAAGCAATTTTTGGGCCGTTACAGTGGTGTTACCCCTTATGTCGCGATGTTTTTCCTTAAAACAAAAAAAAAAAACGATATAATTATTTGTCGTGAACATCGATCGATCTAGAATGTTCTAAAATATTCTATTCGAATATAACATTTCACCATGCGAATAATTTTCTATTATGCGTTTTGAATAATCTTTTTTTAATGTTACGAAAAGCCTTTTTACATATATCTACCTTTCATTTTGTCATAAAAATGTAAAAAAGATAAAAAAAAGATTTAATTAAAGTTCTCAAATAACATCAAGAAGACATATTATCTAATGTTTATTATGTTTATTACAACAAGTTTGGAAGTACCAGATGGGATTTACAAATTTTTCCGTACACGCGCCGTAATTCATTTCGCGCACCTGTAAATTTGGTTCGGGCAGTACAAAAAGATTCCGGCCATTGACAATGTGCGCGACGGAAGGCAGGATCGGAAGGTCGGAAGCGAGAAGACGGCAAAGGCACTACACTTGACACACACGTTCGTTTAATATAAAACTATATTTAAGACTAAAACAAAGAAAAATACAAGTATTGAAACCGCACGGAAATTTCTCGAAAATTGATTGACAAGAATAAACCAAAAGAAATAGCCGAGTCGGTAATTAATAACTAAATGTTCCGCAAGCAACGGTAATTAAAGTGGTAAAATGAAAAAGACAAGCGATCTTTTTCGTACAGTAAAACACACTCTTGACGCGACGAGCAATCGGAAAAGAGCGCCGCGATCACGAGAGAGGAGGTTTTTATAGCCCGTGTTTCTAGAATAGTCGAGAACAATTCTCTTTATTCTATCGTTCGGCTGAGGTCGAAAGAGCGTTTAGTGTAATTATTTACTTTTAGAAAAATAGTCGTTTTGTTATTATCGGGACTAAAGTGTATCTCCTCTCGCGCGACCGCGGTGTTTACCATTATCGGTGATTTGACGTACGCGCTTCCTTTTCGCAGGCGCGGGTATACGTATACCAGTGCGGCCGAGCGCTATTTGAAATAATGTTAATTTAAATTATGCATGATGCATGTTGCATGGAATGAAACGGCTGCATGAAATTTAACGCAATGATGTTTTAATGCTCTTAATCCTGCAGGTTTTTTAAACGTTCGAATCTCGAACATTCCGGTCGCCTTGCAGGAGTATACCTGTAATAATAAACGTAGCGTGGAAGTGGGGGCGCGAGCCTATTCACGCTCTCGCGAGTGACGGGCACGTGGAGCGCACGTGCTCTGACGGATTTCGTTCAAGGAATGCTGAATCGAACAGCTGTTTATTTTCGAGCGCAGCAGGATAGACGCATGTCGGTGAACGCATTGAGGAATACGCGACAATTTCGATTGTGATATTAACCGTGATTGAATAATGAAACGAATAGTTGAGTGATAAGAAGATTGCAGCGATGAAAAGAGTGGAGCAGTGAGTGGAATGTAGTTATGATTGATGTGAGGTAGTTTGGAACGGTGCAAATGAATTGTTGATAAATTACTTATCGCTTGTGGTTTTAGGTGTCGGTTCGTCCGCGTCGGGAAAAAAAACGAGTTTGGCAACGGGTCGCGTCAAGACAGTGGTGGCGGTGCGGACCTCGACGACGCGAACGTGTCCGTCGGCTCCGGAGTGCAATTTGGTGATGCGTGCTAGAGGCCACCTCGTTGGCGCGGTCATTTCGTGACGTATCAAACAGAGTCGACCGACGCGAGCTTCCCTTTTTTTTGAACCATTTCGGGCCGATGAGCCAGCGTGTGTAGGTATTCGCGGGACCATCGGGACCAGAAATGATCCTTCATCTGTTGTAGAAGCTGCCCACCGGGAAGGCGCGACGACGATTCTTCAGTCAGCGACGGTTCGGGGACGACGGAGAGCGCGGAGCCGATGAGGAAATGGCCGGGTGTCAGCGCACTGAAGTCCTCCGGGTCGTCGGTTAGCGGTTGCAGCGGCCGAGAGTTGAGGCAAGCCTCGACCTGGGAGAGGAGAGTGGCCATCTCCTCGTAGGTGAGTGTGTAGCATCTCCTATCACTCTGCGAAGATGGTGCTTCATCGATTTGACTGCCGCTTCCCAGATACCTCCGAAGTTGGGCGCAGCCGGCGGATTGAACCGCCACGGATTTGCTCCTGAGCAGCGAAGGAGGCGACGCGACGTCCTTCAGGGTTTGCGGCTGAGAATAAGTCTCGGAGTTGCGTGTCGGCGCCTATGAAGGTGGTCCCACAGTCGCTGTATAGCGTGCGACATACACCTCGCCGAGCTATGAACCGACGCAAGGATGCCAAGAAAGCGTCGGCCGAGTAGTCCGAGGCGACATCAAGATGGACGGCCCTGGAACCTAAACAGATGAAGACGACAATGAAGGCTTTAGAAGATTTGTGCCCGCGGCCTTTGGCACTTCGCACCAGACGGGTCCGGCGTAGTTGACGCCAGTATGGAGGAACGGTCTTCCTGGCGTCACTCTGGGTGCAGGCAAGTCACCCATGAGAGGCTGTGCTGTAGCCGACCGCTATCGCAGGCATCTAACGCAGCGGTGAATATGGTTTTTGACGAGGGATCGTCCACGAGGAATCCAGAATTCTTGACAGATGGAACACAAGGTCAGCTGGGTGCCCCCATGCAACAATCGTCGGTGATGTGCTTCGATGACGAGGTGAGTAATTCGCGACGAACTCGGTAGGACGATTGGATGGGTAGCCTCAAAAGACATTTGAGAATGTCGTAGACGTCCTCCGACGCGAATAACGCCCGAATCGTCCACAAACGGGCTGATTTATTGAGTGGGCTTCGGTTGGGTAGTGATTTCAGTCCTCGCAACGATTTTAATTCATCCTTGAAATTTACAGCTTGGACGACCCGTATCCAGTGGATCAGCGCGTCATGAAGTTCTTCAGCGTCTACCCCCCGCCGTCGCGATTGAGAAGGATGGGCTGCCGTCGGCGTTGTCGTAACCACCGGAGACACCAGGCGGTGATGCGAAGTAGTCGCTGCAGGGAAGAGTACCGGAGCAGCAGCTCCGGTTTGTCTCCTTGCTTGTCCAAGACTGTAGCGTGCGAACGGGCTCGACGTTCGGGTAGCTCGACGTTGCTGGGATCATCTCCGAAGACAGTCCAAGGGCCGCTCTCCGTTTTCAGCCAAGAGGACCCTGCCACCAAAGTGGATGCGCCTCAAGCTCTCCAGGGAAGATGCCTCGAGAGGCGCAGTCGGCCGGGTTTTCGCGTCCAGGGACATGATGCCAAAGGGCGTCGGGGAGCGACGTTTGAATTTCGCTGACCCGGTTGGCAACGAATGTGACCCAGGAAGAAGGATGTCCACGGATCCAGCCGAGAGCCACCATGGAGTCTGACCAGAGATGAAGAGGCGCCCTTTCAGCCTTGATGAGAGGCAGCGTTTGCTGAACGAGGCGGACCAGAAGAGTTGCGGCTAATAATTCGAGCCGAGGTAAGGAAATTTGTTTCAACGGAGCAATTTTCGTCTTGGCAGCAATCAGCGTAACTCCATACTCCCCGTTCTTCTCGGTTTTTAGGTACACCACAGCAGCGTAGGCACGGACTGAGGCGTCAGCGAATCCGTGAACTTCCAGGCGGCAGTCAGTCGATCCTCCGCCCAGCCATCGAGGAACGTGCAGTCTCTCCAGTTGGGGGAGCTCCGCTTGGAAGCGTAACCAGGCCTTCTCATGATCGTCCGGAAGAGGAGTGTCCCAGTCGATACCGAGTAACCACGTAGACTGGATTAGAGTCTTGGCGAGAACAGTCGTGGGAGACAGCCAACCGAGCGGATCAAATAGCTTCGCTGTCAACGATAAAACTGACCGCTTTGTGATCGTGGACAGCGTTGGTTGGCTGGTGGCAAAGGAGAAGAGGTCGTCGCAAGGTTGCCACCGTAATCCCAGAGTGGCATGACTTTCCCCAGGCAACCACCATCTTGCCTCTTGCTGGAGGCAGTCTTTGGTAGGTAATGTAGACAGTAACTGAGGGTGATTAGCTGACCATTTTTTCAGAGAGAAGCCTCCCGCCTTGCAGACCAGAACGAGCTGTCGAAGGATTTCCTTGGCTTCCTGGAGGGTAGAAGCTCCAGACAGGATGTCGTCCATGTAGACGTCGGAGCGGAGGACCGCGGCTCCCTCAGGATGACGATCGCCTTCGTCCACGGCGAGCTGGTGCAGCGTGCGGATGGCCAAATATGGAGCGCAGGCTAAGCCGTAAGTTACTGTAGTCAGCCAATATTCCTTGATCTCGAGCTCTGAATCCTTCCTCCATAATATCCTTTGCAGGCTCTGATCATCGGCATGTATCAGGATTTGCCGGTACATTTTCTCAATGTCGGTAGCAAAGACGTACCGGTGCCTTCTCCACCGTAGTAGGATGTCAGCTAGGGCAGGAAGCAGGTTGGGTCCCGTCATCAGAAATCGGTTGAGACAGTCGCCGTTGGCCAAGGAGCTCGAACCGTTGAAGACCACTCTCAACTTAGTAGAGGCACTGCTTTCGCGCAGGACCCCGTGGTGAGGAAGGTAGCAGGTTCGTTGTAGAGATCCAGTAGTCGACAGGGGAGCCGGCTTCATATGGTTGAGGTCCAAGTATTGCTTCATGAAATCCACGTACATGCTGCGGAAGGTACTTTCTCGTTCTAGTTTTTGCTGACGTGTTGCAGGGCCCGACTGGCGGCGCGTCGAGTGGCTGAGAGGTCAGGCAGAGGCTCGATCGTCGGCAGTCTCACCACATATCGACCGTTGGCTGTACGAGTGTGATGTCGCAGGAAGTGATCCTCGCACTCCTGGTCAGCCTTAGAAAAGAGTTGTAAAGGCCGTTGAAGCTCCTCCTGCTCCCAGAAGCGACGCACCAGGATAGAGACGTCGTCTTCAATTCGGCATTGGTGAGTGTGAACGTGATGTCCGGTAGTCGTCTCCCCAACAACGCCTGACAGTATCCAGCCAAGCGTAGTTTGTTGAGCTATTGGTTCATGTCGATTTCCCTTTTTTAGGCCCTGACAGAGGATTGAACCGTAAACGTCCGCGCCAAGGAGGATGTCAACCGGATCAGCTGAGCGGTAATCAGGGTCCGCGAGTTCCAGACCTTGAAGATGAGACCAGTTTTGCCCGCCGCCGTTGTAGCCGCCGGCGTAGATGGTCAGCTTCGGCAGCACCAGAGCGTGGACGGTGATGGAAGGGCAGCCACTAAGAGACTGGAGGGTAAGTGCCACTTTACCCTTTGAGACGCCTGTCTTTTTCCCGCCGACTCCATACACTGAAACCGAAGCGGAGCTCCGTGCTAGCCTCAATCGTTGGGTGAGCCTTTCCGATACAATGGAGGATTCCGAGCCTTGGTCGACGAGGGCGCGAACTGACTGCCAGGAACCATAGCGATCGCATACGCGAACGCGCGCCGTGGCCAAAAGTACAGCTACAGGCGTCGGAAACGGTCTCTTGCTGACGTGCGACGTTTTGACAGTCTCCGATGAGCGGTAGGCATCATGGAGTGAGGTATGATGCCGGTCATTGCACGCGGAGCAGTTCTTCTTGGAGGCGCAATCCTTGATTTTGTGTCGGCCGAGACAGTTTCCACACAAGTCGTTATCTTTGACGTGCTGCTTGCGCTCTGAGGCCGTCATTTTCTTATAAGTGTCGCACAGCATCACGAAGTGGTCACCCTGGCAGGCTGAACAGCGTCCTCTGGTGTTTCCCTTGGGCTCTTTTGAGTCCTGCTTACGAGCATGGTGGGTACGAGTCGACTTCGACTGACTTTCGCCGGTTTTGTTGGGCGAGACGTCGATCTTCGTCGAGGGTAACGACTCCAGAGTGTGAAGACGTCGCTCAAGGAATCGCTCTAGCAGAGCGAATGGCGGAGGTTTGTTTGTCTCACTGATGGAGGTCTCTCACTCGCGGCGAGAGCGACTATCGAGAAGGTCAACGGCTAGGTGCACAAAGAGATCCTTAGTACTTCCTACCGGCCGGTCGATGCTCGTCAGCGAGCTGACCGTAGTCTTAATGCCATGGAATATCTTTCTAAGCTCAGCAGCGGATTCTCCCTTCATCCTTGGCAGGCTTAAAAAATTTGTTAAATAAGAGCGGGTTAGTAAGCGCTTATTTTCATAGTAGTCGCTTAGAGTTTGCCAGGCTCGTTCGTAATTAGCTTCGGTAGAACTGAGGTTTCTGATGAGAAGATCTGCTTTGCCCTTGACACAGCTCTTCAAGTAGTGCATTTTTTCTACAGGCTTCGTCGTCTTATCCTGACCGATGAGGGAGACGAAGAGGTCTCGGAAGGCCGGCCAATCCTCGTATCTTCCCGTAAAGGTCGGCAGCTGGATTCGACGTAGCGTGGTGCGAGGCGCCGATGTTGATGTCTCTGAAGTAGCAGAAGCAGCGGCGCGTTCCTTTTTCTGGAGAGTACGCCGCATCTCCAACATCAGGCCATTGTTCACTAGGTAAGACTCCTCGCCGAGTGAAGGTATGTCTTGTTTAGCATAGACGTCATGTTTTAGTTCGTCTACACGCTCAGCCAAGATATCATTCATCGCATCGAACTTCTCCCACAGTTTGTCGAGATTCAGAAGCCGGGCTTCCACCGCACCGAGTGTGATGTTGGCCTCGCCAAGCTTCCGAAGGTTATCGTATGCGCGCGAGATCTTGCCATATAGCGCGGTGGCGTTGGTAATTATAGTTGTCGTGTCTGCCATCTCTGACACTGTCTTACTTTCAGATGCACTGGTCACCTACACTGATAAACTCTACGCTTCCGTGGCACCGGATTCACAGGAGGTTCTGGAGGATCCGGCTCGAAGGACTAAAATAATGTGCGCGACGGAAGGCAGGATCGGAAGGTCGGAAGCGAGAAGACGGCAAAGCACTACACTTGACACACACGTATCGTTTAATATAAAACTATATTTAAGACTAAAACAAAGAAAAATACAAGTATTGAAACCGCACGGAAATTTCTCGAAAATTGATTGACAAGAATAAACCAAAAGAAATAGCCGAGTCGGTAATTAATAACTAAATGTTCCGCAAGCAACGGTAATTAAAAGTGGTAAAATGAAAAAGACAAGCGATCTTTTTCGTACAGTAAAAACACACTCTTGACGCGACGAGCAATCGAAAAAGAGCGCCGCGATCACGAGAGAGGAGGTTTTTATAGGCCCGTGTTTCTAGAATAGTCGAGAACAATTCTCTTTATTCTATCGTTTGGCTGAGGTCGAAAGAGCGTTTAGTGTAATTATTTACTTTTAGAAAAATAGTCGTTTTGTTATTATCGGGACTAAAGTGTATCTCCTCTCGCGCGACCGCGGTGTTTACCATTATCGGTGATTTGACGTACGCGCTTCCTTTTCGCAGGCGCGGGGTATACGTATACCAGTGCGGCCGAGCGCTATTTGAAATAATGTTAATTTAAAATTATGCATGATGCATGTTGCATGGGAATGAAACGGCTGCATGAAATTTAACGCAATGATGTTTTAATGCTCTTAATCCTGCAGGTTTTTTAAACGTTCGAATCTCGAACAGACAACGTGACGCGTTTGACAAGACATGTCATGGCTTGAAAAGAGAAATTATATATATATTTTTGGTACATTCTCTAATTTGATTATGAGAGACGTGAGAAGGAAAAGACCAGACGTTGTGCGGCGAGATTACTTATCTTTGCAAGAACTTACTTATCCTCGCCCCCTGCGATATTCCCTAAATCTCTCGCCATGAAATAGTCGCGCAATCGCTGCTGAAAAGACAGATCGGCGTCATTTAAATTAATGACCCGAAACACACTGCAAAGAAAAGTAAAGCTTTTTTCCATTCCTATCGCATTAAACAACTTGAATGGCCACCGCAGTATCTAGATTTCAATCCTATTGAAAATCTGTGGGCAATTGTGGATAATAGGATCAACAAGAGCTGAATAACTAATAAGACTTCCTATTTTGAAGCAATACAATTAGCATGGAAAAATTTGGACCCACAATATTTGAAAAATTTAATTAAAAGTATACCAAGAAGACTTTAAAAAGTAATTGAGGCTAAAGGAGGTCATATTAACTATTAATTAAAATAATATTAATTTTCCAAAAGTAAAATATACTGTTTATTATGTTTATAAAAATTTCATTGTATTGTTACATATATATAAAAATATTTTCTTGTTAAATATGTGTGTATGTGTGCATGTGTGTATATTTTTAATTGTGGAAATTATAATTAATATTTTTAATGCCAGCACTGCCATTGCCTCTGCCTCTGCCCCTCCATCTTCCTCTTCCTCTGCCTCTGCCTCTGCCTCTGCCTCTGCCCCTACTTCCTCTTCTAAATCCGCACACTTCTCGGATAATGGTTCTTAATTGTTGCATCTGTAATCTAAAAAATAATAATACGCATATAGAATCTGCATATAAAATATTTTTTTACTAGCTTTGAGGCTCGCGCGAAACGGAAAAATCTTCTCAATCATGGCATAAAAATGTGCGAACCGTGTATCCATACTATTCTACAATTTTTAGGCGTAGTGCTTCATCTGTTTTTATGTGTGTGTATGTACGTGTGTGCTCGTGTGTATGTTGTATTTCACATTTTAACATTATAATTAAAAAAAATTAATACAAAATATTTTGCATATGTAAAATGTGTATATATAAATTCTTTTAATTAATAATTAAATAATTTAAATTATTCTTTTTAAAGTCAAACTTTAAATTTAATTAGTAATCAATTTATTAAGTAATAGTACATTTCCTAACCAGTCCGGAAGTTAGCGTTTGATCACGAGGGGTGAAGGGGAGAGTTGAACGTACGAACCCAAGGCGAGTGCGGCCATTCCCGACCTCCACGAGTGGTCATTCGCGCTCCCGGACGTGTTAGGAACAGGATTTTACAGCATTCGTGAGTCGAAAAGACGCACCTATGCTGTAAAATTATATAATTAACAATTCTTACTAACATTCAAAGAAAACAGGGTTGTATCCGTGATATTATTTGGGATCGCCGCCGCGGACATCATCGTCGCGCTCGTACTCGCTGTCGTCGTTGTCACTGCCATTGCCGCGGACATCCTCGCTGCATTGATAACGGCTGTCATTGTGGTTGTCGCTGGTATTGGCATAATAGCC